AAGGAATTCCCAAGTGGCCGAACCACTTATCATTAGTGAAAAGCTAGATTGTGTGGTCACGGCCACAGTTCACAATGGCCATAGAAAGCTACACGGACGAGAACATCTAGAGAAAAACGGAAGATCGACGAGTTTAAGGGGATCAAGTTCAAATTGACCGTAGACCCCATCCCTCCGGTGCCGGTAAATTTGCATCAGGCCGAGCAGGGAGGCTATGCCGTTCTGAACATGGACTGGCTCCTTCAAGTCGTTATTCAGGTTAAATTGCATTTAAAAGCGGACATGATTCTAATAGAGATGGAGTGCCGAGGGATTTCTGAGAAAGAATCTATTATTTCCGAACGCTTTTAAGCTTTCATATGCGTTCATCCTTAAAGTAGATACAATGCTTTTTAAGTCCTCTGGTGGTGCTCGCTTGGTGAATCAGCTGTTAACGGAGATGGACGGTGTGGAAGTTAGAAAACAGGTTTTCCTTATAGGCGCCACCAATAGGCCTGGTGAGTAGCTTGTTGTTGATGTCAGTGGTTATATTTCGTTTCCTTTCTCGAAGAGATAAGCGATGATTATCGACAGAGGGGGGGGGGGCATTTTGTACTATCACTGCTTCCCTTGTTCCGGTTTGCAAATCTCACTTTGGTAAAACTTGTGAACTCTTGTAAAGCTGGAGCAGGATCGTCTAGCCACCATCCCAAAACGTGTCAACTCGAGAAAAGCTACCTAGATGGGTCGACACATCTATGGAAAGCAAAATGCCCCCCCCGTCGATAAACTGCGCCGAAGAGATGTTCTGTTCGCTTAGCAGTGTGAGTGCGCAGTTGTAAATTTACATCGAAACTCATAGCAATTTGACCTTTTGCAATTTACTTATTTTTGTTTCAGATATTGTTGATCCCGCTATACTGCGTCCTGGTCGCCTTGACAAGATCCTGTTTGTCGATTTCCCATCCCCGAGTGATCGTGCTGATATTTTGAGGAAAGCAACCAAGGTGACTTTTACATTCGTGTTACAGTTCATAAGCATCTGAGCAACGTTATCACTGCTTCTCAGAAGACGGGGAGGATCCTGTGGCCATGATAGTCAAACGTTCTTGTGTAAAAGAGTCTAGTTGGAGGCTGCGTCCATGACTGATAAACTGGAGGGGATAAGGATAAATGTTAAGCCTCGCGTCGTTGATTAATCGCCTTCTGGGATGCGGCACGCATTCTACTTCCAGTCAGGATCACTCGCCTACTGGATGGTCAGGATCACTCTCTTACTGGATGCTATATGGCATATATACTTGTGGGACCCAGTCGACTTGCAAGTCAGTGTTCCTGTTCTACCAATTAGGCTTATACCAATTTACTGTCACGGTGGCTGGGCAAAATTTTATTTTTTCAAGGGCAAATACGACCCCTCCACAACGACGATGTACGACCCCCCCCCCTCGGTGGGATTCCCCTGCGACTCTGAATACTGTTACAATCCTCTCAAGCATGTAAGTTGCTAGTATTTTCATCTGGTAGGATGGGAACGCGGACTTCCGCTACGGCTATCCCCATTGTATTGACCAAATCCAAACAGGATTTAATTTGAAGAAAAATGGGTCCAAAGGAATCGGTCAGCGGCGATGCTGCAGTTTTGACCATCGCTAATTGGCTTGATTGGAGCTTATGGGTTAAAGATTACGAGACGGTTTGGCCTTGGCTAGTCTACACAGTACGGTAACTTCAGTAGGCGAGAAATCATACACCGTAATCCAAAGGAGCCGTAAATAAATCTGGATGCACACCAAACACAGTATCTCACGACAACAGCGTCAAAATTGGCTGGGAACTTACGTGTTGCGATGCGAAGGTTATCCATAGGGTTAGAACGACTCCTGGGATTAGAACGATTGCATGGAGTAGTGTTCGTAAGTGCTATAGGCGCGTTGGATGCTCCAATGCAGTACATCATTTTTCTATTTATAGATGTACTTGTATAATTGGGTTGCGGCACTCATCGGAATTTCTTATTACATTGCAGTGGAGTTTTTGCACATTACTTAGGCATCTTGTTGATGCGTTTTCCAAATGAAAGTGTTACGAAACTTTCCTGAAAATTGATTAAACTTTTAGAATAAGATAGTTTTGCATGTGTTCTCTTTCCACGGGCCCCGCATTCATTTGAATGCCCCGCTTCATTCCATGTTCGAGTAGTGGTTTAAATTGTCCACATGCTTATATGCTAAGTCAGTATAGCCTCCTTGTCGTGTGGTTACCATTGCCTGCATGCTTCCTGTTGATTACGTGCGATACGAGGAATGATGGCGAGCATAGTTTTTCTGAAGGAAATACAGTACGAGTGCGAGATCCATAGTCAGCCTCCTCTGCAATCTACAAAACCGTCACTGAATCGCGTCAACAAGCCCTATTCACAGCTTCAAGAATGAGCTCGCAGTTGGAACCTGAATTACTCTAGCCATTCTAGGAGCGGTGCTGAAATGTGGAGAAAAAGTTCTGCATTGTGCAGCAAAATTCATTCACTAATCTGGGAGGCAAAAAGTTTCCCATTCCGATGCAGTCGTGTTGTTTTTAAAACCTAAACAGGCTCTTATTTTATCGAGAATGAAGAAAAAACTACTTGAACTGGGTTGCGGTGAGCTGCATTCATAATTATCGTCTGCGTTTTGAGCGTTTTGGGGCAAAAAGTAAAATTAGCTATCAACTTAGCGTTTTTAATCTTTTCAGCGGAATGCTAGCATTGTATTATTTCTACAAATAATCCCTGTTGTAATATTTCGAGAAATAATGCTGCAATTACTACCGAGCTTTTTTGTTAGGCAGACTCGAACTGAATACGTATGACGAAAACTCAATAGATTTCTATTTAATCGAAAATGCAAGCAAAAGTTCTCGTAACAAACACAGTCGCTACTCGCACTTACTTCACAAACGCAATTTTGACGACCTAAGACCCAGCTACCACTATAATGTACAGTTGTCTTTTCTGCTTTACTTTAATTAACTGGAACTTTTCTGATGGGTGTTTCTTACACTAGCATAAATGGTGGGGATAATAGAGTGAACGTGAAGCGAGTCAGATTTCGTAAGAACCGTTTGCCCGGGCTATTACGGCACCATTCGCGTGAAGTATGTCGTAGTGTGTGCATCCAGATTTATTTACGGCTCCTTTGGATTACTGTGTATGATTTCTCGCCTACTGAAGTTACCGTACTGTCTAGTCTACGCATTGAAAAAGGCAAAAAAATGAATGTGATCCTGTAATTGCCTTGCGAAAAAAAAATTGCCTTGCGAAATTCACGAAGGTGGTGACGGTACCAGCGTCAGGCCTAGGTTGGCAGGCCGGATGATGGAGAATACCGTTGAAAAAAGTTGATTAGAAGTCAAGACTGCAAAGGATGCACTTTATCGCAACAGGTGGCGATGCCTAACAAGAACAGCGGACCTGCGATAGCGCTCGACTAGGGAGAGAAATTACTCTTCAAGTACACTTGAATATTCGACTCTCAATGAACCTCGGCATATTGATAGATGATTGTTTCTTCTTATTGAACTGCACTCGTTCAAAAATTTTTATTATGTAGCTGACGTTTCGTGAGATCACCTTTTTCGGAGCCTGAAACACTTGAAAGTATTGTTTTTAGAACGGGACGCATCCGAAATTAAGTCGTGACGTGGACTTCGACAAACTATCTCAACTACCTGAACTGGATGGTTTCACGTGAGTTTTTTGTGTTGTAGGAGAGAGGGAGAAAGAGAGAGAGAGAGAGAGAGAGACAGACAGACAGGCAAACAGACAAAACAGACAGACGCACAGACAGACAGACAGACAGAGTTTTTGAGCGATAGTCCTTGAGCTGGGGTAATCACTTGTGAGACATAAGTTTTCAATGTTATTCTGATGGTTTCAGAGGAGCGGATTTGGCTGCACTTGTTCACGAAGCGTCGATTATCGCGTTGAAAGCTCGGCTCTTTGGAAACGATCTCGGAGTCGATGCCGTGGCTATGGAACACTTCCTCAAAGCTGTCCAAAATATTCGACCCTCCGTTACGGAATCCGATCGGAAGAAATACATGAAGATGAAGGAAATTTATGGTGTTAAGAAACGTGCTCACCAAGTTGAAGAGAACAGTTAGATATTTGTCTTAGGTGTAGTTTGGTTGTTTTCAACTTAAAAACCAACTCTGACAAGTAGTATATTTACTTGGGTTTGTTACGTAGTATGTAGACTGGTTTCAGGCTGCATTGCTCACAAACTCGTTCCTTGGTTGGAACACTGTTTCCAATCAACGTTTATGGCTTTTGTGCCGTAATTGTTAGTTGGTATGTGCGCTCTTATACGTTTGTTACATTTACCTCGGTACCGGTGTGAATAGTGAGAAAATATGTTACTAACGTACTGAGCTATTGTATTTGTTCGATATTTTGATGCAGTTCGGCGAACGGAGGAGAGGGGGGAGGGTGACGGCATTTTGCTTTTTTGCTGCTTCCCATCGACAAGTGGGGACCTGTGCAAGCTTGTGAACTATATCAAATTGTAATAACTACTTGTCAACCCTTGTGAAGAATACCTGCCAACTCTTTTAAAGTACCTGCCAGCTCTTGTGAAGCGTCATGAAATTACCATAGCAATGTCAGTAGCTTACCGGTTAGTTCGTCGAGCTTGCCAAGGGTTCAGAAGAGTTCACAGGTTTCACCAGAGTGAGTCTTGCATGGAACTAGTGAAGCAGCGAACGTGCAAAATCCCCCCCCCCCAGTCCAGATTGCCAAACTGCGCCGATATTTTTATTTAAATCATTGATGTTCGTTTACATTGTTGTTCGTTATTGTTTGTTGTTGTCGTCGTTGTTACATAAATTCGAGCTATGAATCAATAATTAGAAGTGTAGTGTGTTTTGATCTGATGTGGTGCAATACGCCGTCTCAATGTATCTGTGGATTGTTTGTGATGCTTTGAGTGAGCAGCGTGTCCGTGTGCGTGGTGCGGGGCGTAGCCGGTTCATACTTGTCACATTCGGTTGCTTCGCATCATCACCTTAGTTTTGGTTTACTATTAGTAGTATTGTTATTTCAGGACATAATCGTCCACCATATGAATAGTGAGTCATGACATCATGGCAACCGAATCAGGAAGAACTGACACAGGTAGTGTATGGTGCGAAGCTCATCCTTCTGATATGTGATGAAGATTAATTGTATTGTGTAGCATGAAACTACGTGTCTTCCATGGTGTAGATGTTTTAAAGCCTTCGCCAACAAGGGAGATGAACGGTGTATGTTGTACAAGAATGCTGAGTTGTGGGCAAAAGTGCAAAAGTCGTGCCCCAGGCGGTAGTCGCTACACCTCACGCATCCCGGGCGAGTGCGCTCTCCGTTACGCCACCGGAGCTGCTTTTACCATCTCAGCTTAGCGGCTTATGCCGTAACCTTACAGCACTCATACGTTTAAGTTGGTGAGCCGGCCAGCCGTAATCGTTAGATATCGGCATGGAACCGCAAGGCCGAAGGCTTTACAAGTTTTTGAAGCTGTCTTGTTATGATAACTGCTGCTTAACGCCGCAGTACGCCTTTTACCATCTCAGCTTAACGGCTTACAGCATAAGCCGTTAAGCTGAGATGGTAAAAGCGGCCCTAGTGGCGTAAAGGATAGCGCACACGCCCGGAAAGCGTGAAGTGCGGTTCGACTCCCGCCTGGCGCACGACTTTTGCTCCATAACTCAGCATTCTTGTGATGACATTCGGAACTCGTACTGCGGCGTTAAACAGTTATCATAACAAAAGTATGTTGTATTGTGGCTGTGCGGTGCAGTAGTTCATTGGTGCAAGTCCTAGTTTGTAGGTTCACCCTATATCCCTAAGACACTGTAGGCATGGCCGCGTACTTAGTTTGAAAATGGTGCAGATTGTTTGTGAGAAGTACCCAAAACATGGTAGGGTCGACACGTTGAAATCAGTTACGTAGGCGCGCATACGGTATTTCAGGGGTGCGAAGCATACAGGATTGGCCAATAAAAGATTTTCCCTTTTGGAAGTTACCGAGTTTTTTTTTTGCACGGAATGACGGGGTAAATGAGTCATGTGGACAACCACTCCGGACACTGACCTCTGCCCTTAGAATCCGTGAAAACCACACGTCTGGGCCCTTATGGCGCTTTAACGATAAAGTTGGACTCCAAGATTGGATGAATACCTTTCGCAGTCGAAACTCTCTGAACTCTTGGGTCGAATATGAATGCATTTTGTCATGCTTCGGTGTTGGTGCACAGTCTGGCCATGATACGCCACGTTTATATAATAATGGTACAGGTTTATATTTTTTATCCCAACATAACGAGAAGCAATTAATTACAATCAAGGGTATTCCTTGTAGAACTGAGAACAATCTGATCGGCAAGCGATGAATCAAACATCGGGAATTTGTACTTTTAATCTAATCCATTATTTCTTACAAGGCCACAGTGTCTGTAATCAAACAAAATTACCCAGGAAAGGTAAGGAGCGGTGCATAGGAGTCCTTGCCAAGTGCTGCTTTTCACGTCAGAAAAGAACCACTTCCTCACAATTTCCCGATTCACCCATCCATTCCGGTGCTCATCCCTCCTTGGTTTTTAGCGATTCGCTGAATTAGCCCCTCCTAGGCATGGGCGATTCGCTATCTCCTGGCTTACAACCGCGTTTCACACGTTAGCGCTTATTTTTATCTGGGAAGGTCCTGATTGTAGTGAAACACTTTGCGTTATGTTTCTATGAAAAAATGAACGAAAAATGAAAAGACGAAAAAGAAGAAAAGTGAAGTTATCATCAGTGCATCAGTGGCGTACCACGTGATTCGCATCACTGCCCATTGGGAGTAAGGCATCAGAGCCCTCCTCTCCCCCGCTCCCCTCCCCACCTTCCCTTTAACCGAATAGCAGCTGAAACCAACCCAATACATAGCATGGGATTACAGCTCCGACCCAACAATATACTACTTTCTTTTCAATTCCAATAAATTTTCGTTGTAGTATATACTAGTGTGATGCTTCTTGAAAGCTGTATTTTGTAAACTTTCAGGTTCTACATTTGTTGCACCACTCGCAATCGACAGATACAGTCGTACAGCGAAATGTGCAACAACAGCTCGACATGCTAAATGGCCATCAATCATTTTGTTGCTATCTTGTACACATTCTTAGTGGTATGAAAGAGGAGCAAGTGAGTTCTGTAACGTTAGGAAGTTCAGAATTGATCACCTTCTGACTCCATTTGCTTAAAAAACCTGGTTTTGATCGAAAATTTTTCCTCAGCAGTTGATTCGGCTTCAGTTTTGTCATGGGAGCGCTGTAGTTTAATGGTCCTCAAAAGATGTGGTCAGATTCCTCACCGCCACCTTCCCAGCCCCCCCCCCCTCCTCCGAGGCGTAATGTTGATAAAAATTTGGATCAGTTTTCGATCTAGACAGTCCTGAATATGGAAAGGCGAGCAGTAAAGGGTAGAAAGTGCCGGAAACTTACCTGTTAACTATTTAAAATTTGACCATGTTGCATGATGTGACCTCCACTAAAAGTTTCCGACTTGTGGAAGCACCCAAGATTCGATTCAGGAGGCTAGCCGATCTCTTGCTGGATTAATATTGAAGAACAATGTTCGTTCGCAGTGGGCGAAATATCCAGATGAAGTGCGAGAATTTGTAAAGACCAATACATTAGCTAGTATAGCTGATCCAAGTCCATTAATTCGAGCTACAGTAGGTATAATAGGTGGGTCTACCTAATTTTCCTTGCAATATTTTTTTGAACCTGCCAGAACTGCGAACCTTTTATTTCAGTAACTACGATAGTCGTCGAAGAGAATGGTGTTGGTCACTGGCCAACTTTATTGCCATATTTGGGCCATCTTCTCGATCAACCAGATCCCAACATGCAAGAGGCGAGTTCATTTCGGCAATAATGGCGGGAAGATGAGATCCTGCTCTTGTTTATCGGCGCTGTTCAGCTTGGAGGGGGCACCAAACGATACGCTTTGAAGCTTGTACAGGCCATCTTGTGAAGACCCGAAGGTTCCTGTCACCCAAGTGGCTCCCTTGCATCTCTTCGCAGCTGTGATAATTAGGGATCCCACCAAAATGAGACCTGGTTTAACTAGCAAGAGGAACTAGCGAGAGTGTCGTATGCCCCCTCTCAACCGTATGTCGAACAGCGGTGTCCTTGACGAACAAGTTCTGCTGCTTTCGGGACATAGGGAAAGAAAATTTTCGAAAGTTTTCGACAAAATTATGCAAAAAAATTAAAGTTCGTAGAAGTTTAGTGCAGTTGAAGAATTATTCAGTTAGAAATATTGCGTGAAGACTTGAGAGCAGTGCTTTTTGGATGTCTTGTGAGGCAATAGAACAGCTTGTTTGAGTGGAGTGAACTTTCCCCCAGCTTCTCGCTTTGAAGAATAAGTTACATCTTCGAGAAAAGGAAAAGTATTTTCGTCTATAAATTGGTCATCGTTTCGTTTGAGGGTTCGATGGGAGCGATCCAAAAGATATTCGAAGACTCAGGCGATCGTCTGGATACTGAACAGCACGTTCATCCGCTGATGCCGAAGATTTTGTCGTTTTTCAGCTCAGAAAGCCCTAAAATGAGGTAAGGACTATTTTTCGTGGACTTATTCCTCTCAAATAGGTTTTGTTGTTAACGTTCAACGTTATCAATATTTTTATATACCTTTATTTTCAGGGGGTTAGCAATGAATTCGGTGAACAGTATTTTGATGATTAACAACGATCCAATTAGTGCAGTGATTGATGACTTCTTACAACAGCTGTTTGGAAGGGCACATGACCATGATCCGGTATGCTCTGTTTCTCTGAAAAGCTCTCGATGATGATTTTATGCCTGACTGTACGTCAGTCGCTTTTTCAGGAAGTGCAAAAGCAGCTTTGTCGATCGCTGACTCTTCTGCTGGATAGCCACTTCGAGAAGTTGGCTCCTCATCTGCCGAATGTTATTGATTACATTATAATGAAAACTCAGGTACGTGAAGCGATTCCGGCTTTGTTTGTTTACGGTATGCTTCTAAGTACTTTGAAAGACTATAAGGCAAAAGAAAATGAAGTTTTAGCCTGAACATAGCGGTAGAGGCAGTGACCAGATAAGCTGAATCTTCTTGTAATTTGCAATACAATTAGCGCAAACTCACTCAATCATTGAAGGGTCCATCTTCGGGACTTTCACAACAAAAAAAACCCAAAACCCCTTGCGCGGAAACTGTCGCCGTCTCCACCCACACCATCGTTAGGTTCCATACCAAACACCAGCTTGCTTGTTTCCTTTTGTTTCGATAAAAGATGCAGAGAATCGAATTCTCATTTACTTTAAATCAAGAGTAAATTTTGGGACACTATAGTGGGCATATTAGGTTGATCAATATGTTTTTCGACCACGTGTTTTGATCCTTCCGTATTTCGTTTGCCATGACGTCTGATATTCCCCTCATACACCCGCTGTGCCAAACGTGTGGATGCACCTCTCTTTTATCACACTAGCTATCACTCACCCACCTTGCATTTGCAGGCCACAATGTCGCACAATTACCACTGTGACAGAATGTACCTGCGCCACTGCCTGGTTTTGCTTCACGATTCACAAAGAAGCTTCACTTTCTCAACTCGATGATCATTGGAGATGAGTAGTGGCTCCTCTACGATAACCATGTGAGGAAGTGGCAGTGGGTCGACAAAGGAGAACAGCCAGAAGCCACCCCAAAGGCCGACCTTCACCCCAAAAAGGTTCTCCTGTCCTGTTGGTGGTCCAGAAGAGGCATGGAGTACTGGGAGCTGCTGGAGAAGGGACAGACGATTGCTTCCCACATACGTGACCCAGCTGCGGAAATTGAAAGATCACGTCGACCGTACTCGTGGATCGAATGCGGAAAGCTTCCTCCACCATGACAACGCCCGAACCTCACACCGCAAAAGCCCAGGCCGAGCTGGAGAAGTACGGATGGCTGATGGTCGCCCACCCTCCCTACAGCCCTGACCTCGCTCCTTCTGACTACTGGCTGTTCAGCCACCTGCAGCGCTCTCTGGACGGAAAAAAGTTCGAAACAAAGGATCAGGTCAGAAAGGCACTCGACGACTTCTTCAAGTCCCAGCCCCCGTCGTTCTGGAAGGATGGAATCGACAAGCTGCCTGAGCGCTGGCGTCGAGTAGTGGATGGTGATGGTGCATACCTCTAATCTTCAGGCTGGTTCGCTTTGAGATATTTACAAAAAAGTCGGGGTTAAAAACATATGCATCAACCTAATATGTTTGAGAGCTGTAACCAGTAAACTTGACGACAATGTTAAAGGCGCTCAAAAATGGTGGTTTTTGCGACTCAAATATTGATGACAAGATGGTATAACACCAAAATATGGAGAAAAAAGTGTTGAAAACACATTTAAATGAAATGCCCCATTTGGAATTCCTGAACCGCGTTTGTACGTGCATAAGGCGAAGAAAGGGCGTGGTCGGACGAGTTCTCACTTGTTGGTGCCAGCTCTTTCTCCTTATCACCTCACTCTCACCATTGGGAATGAAGAGAGGTAGCAGCGAAACAGTCGCAGTATTAGGAAGCTGTCCAAAATGAAAGTTGGGCGTCGACCTGGCCAGTTGGCGGAGACGCGGTCTCGTCGCAAGCACGTCGCGTTCTTCTCACGTATTTCTGAGCTGCGAAATATTGCATCGTCCATGCATGCAGACAAGACTACCATGTACAGAGAGGGTGCCTTACCATCAAATGAACGCGGAGCGTATAATAACTCCGTAGGTGTTTTCGGAGTATGACTGCAGCTGTATCAGTAGAGTGAAAGACTTTGTCTTCCTGGAATATAGTATTTTTAGGATCCTAACGAGAATATCGCAGTTGAAGCTTGCGAGTTCTGGTTATCGTTAGCTGAGAACTCGGATGTCTGCAAAGAGTTGCTGTCACCTTTTCTGGAGAAACTCGTTCCAGTGCTCATAAAGTGCATGCGGTATTCAGAAAGCGACATTATTGCTTTAAAGGTAAGATATCAAACGCCTTTTTCTTTATATGTTAATGTCGGGGAAAGGGTAACTGGTTCACTAGCATATTTCTTGCTTGCGAGCAGACCACCGTGATGAACTTTACAAGTGTTTACGTAATTTTGACTGCACAATTTAAATTTATTGTAGGGAAATTGCGACGAGGAAGATGCCATGATTCCGGATCGTGACGAAGATATCAAGCCACGTTTTCACAAATCCAAGCTTGCTTCAGGACAACTCAACGCTGAAGTGAGTTTCTGTACCAGTGTTTTTGTTTCTTGTGGTAGGGGACAATCCAGATGGCACTTCTCCTTTCTGCCTTTCTCAAAGGGGAGGATCGGCTGAATGAGGAAGGAACAAGAAACGGAACAGGAACATGGTTCTCTTTTGCCACGCATACGCAGAGTGGATTCATTACATGCTGGAGTTTCTATGTGCTTATTTGACCCATTTACGGTGTTCAATACTGCGCCATGAGAATTGGCAGTAGCCACTCGCCAGCGGTGTTGAGCCTCGTCTTATTTGCTCATCTTGACCTTCTCATAGGGGCAGTGAAATGTTCTCGACATCAGCAACCCATCTGCCATCCTTCTGGCCAGCATGGTTAACCATTCTTAGAGGGTGGCCCCTTCCGAGACACACTGGAACTTCAAAAAGCTGCAGTGCTCGATATGAAATTCTTGTCATAATTTTTCACCACGCTTTGGCTCAGAGGGGCAAAGGCGTTGCGTTCAGTTGGCTCTAGTGTGCAAACCATTTTGTGGAGACATGTAAACCCTAGGAGGGCCATAGTGTAGAGGTGCAATCTTTTGGAAAGTTACAAAATCCTACAACTTTATTCCCTTCCTTGTTTTTTTTATGAGTTGGATGGCATCTAAGTCGTGAAGGAACAAAGAACTGATTTTTAGCTAGAAGGATGAGAATATTCGTACAACCTACGGGGAGTAGCTCAAGGGTGGGTGAGCAGTTGTAAGCAAAAACGCTTTTGAATGGATTCCTTTCTATTTTGTACCTTAAAGGACTTTATATGAGTTCACAGAAATGCTCCTCACCGGTGAGCCTAATTGCGCGCTTTCTTTGTCGAAATAATATTTCTGCCATAAGGGAGCTTCTGTGGTGCACTTGCTTCGTTCATTTTTTGCAACTCGGGAGATTTG